TATGAAGACCTGGGATAAATAAATACATGAATTTGGGGCTAACTTTATACCATCCTATAGATCAATTAATCATCCCACTGTAACAAGTTTGTTATCTTTGAGTCATTGGTTAATGAAAAATTAGACTGAGATATTTAATTTTGTACTTGATGAAAATGTGGAGTAAGTTCAAGTTGTATAAATCTCATTGCAGAATGCATATATGTGTAGTTTTTGAGGTATAGTGGCCTCTGTTACGTTTCATAGGACTCAAACTGTCCAATTGATTTAACAATGCAGGATAAAACTCAGGTCACTTTGAAATTGAGATTAATCTTTCTTGATTCATTTAAAAACTAGCTCCCCTTTTTGTTTGGGGTAGGAGAGAGGATATCTAAAAATATCAGCTTCCGATGACTTACATATGCCAAAGATTTTCAAGGAAATTCATATTATGTATTTTTTAAATGATTTGTTAACGTTACTCACCAAAAGAAATAATTTCTTCCCTCTTGGGAAGATACCACCCATTGCCCTCTGACCTGAGACCAGAGCTCTAGATTCTGTTTCTACCTGTACTATTAAACTCAGCCTTGAAATTGAGCTTGGTTAGGTTTTCTGTGCCTTAGTTTCTTCACTTGTAAACAATTTTCTATAAAACCTGCTTAAATTCCAACCAAAGTTTACCATACGTGTTCATTCTCTCACCTTGTGGAAATTACCATCCTTAAATTTGATTCTCCCCTCTAAAACAATTGTAACTGGCAAAGTGATTGAAAAGAGTTTTGAGAGACAGACTTATTTTCCTCACAAAAATATATCAAAATTTGATTTTCCCATCTCATTTTATTGTGGGAAAAAATGTGTATTGTCTTGTGCCATTTTGTAATATGGCTTTCTCAGGAAAAAAAAAAAAGACCACTTTCAATTGTAATATTTCCTCTGATAATTCAATGTGGGTGTGAGGGCCATTATTCAGTATTTGTTGATCGTATGTGATTTCTTAAAGGAGTTTATGAAAAATTTTAGATTATAAATGGAAAACGTGAATGAAACACTCTAAAGTAGCAGTCTACTTAAGAGTAGAATTCTCACCTTTCAGTTGTAATGGGCAATAGTCATTTAGGATTGGTAATTTACATGTTTCTTATTCTCTCAACTCCTTAGTACTACAGCTTAATACTATTTAATTTATACAAATCTTACCTTATTGTTCTGTTTACTTCCTTTTTTATGAATCTGAAAATAACATGTGAATCAGGCAGATACACCAAAGATATAGGAATCTTTTTTCTGGGCTTTCAGTTTGTTGCCACCATTTTAGTCCTACAGATGATAAAGCATCTACTATGGGCAAGGATTTGCTGGCGAGGCCCAGCCATGTCTGTTAAGTGCATTGCCTTCCTCCTTGGGAAGATCTTTTCATAAGTTTAAAGTAGACTAATTGTGAGAACAGGCAGGAAGTATTTGCGGCTTGCTTTTAACAGTGGCAGTCTTATTATTTGGCTTAAAATCTAAGAAGACTGTGAAATTATTCTATAAGAAGGTAAACTTTAGTGCAGATTCGCCTCATACTTGATGGTGAAGTGTCTTTAAATAAAATTTCTATATATAAGATACAAAACTGTTTTGTTGCTCTAATGCTTATTTTTCTGTATTTGTTTACACATTAAATTCCTGCAAAAAAAAAATTGTCCTTTTGTTTTATATTAAGATGTTTTATTTTGATCCTACTGAAATACGTGTGTTTGAGAAAACTAATTTGTTAATACTTATTTTACCTAGTACAATAACTGTATATTTATTGAGCAGGATGCCAGTATCAGATGTTCTTAAACCACCATCAACAATAAAACTCTTGGTGATTAAAATTAGCTGTAAGAACAAACTAAGAGATTTGAATATTGAGAGAATGCTGACACTAATTGGACCTTGTTAAACTTTCCTTCCCCACTTTCAGATGTACAGTATCATGGCTTTTCTTTAGTATGCTTAAAGACTCTGAAGTTAGTAACTTTTTATAAGAAAAATTATAAATACAATTTTAAGATTAAGATGCTTTTATAAATGAAGAAACCAAGGTTTACAACACAGATTCTCCATTAAATAACTCGAAATAACTGATTTTTACTATTATTTTTAAAAATTAGCGTTTTGAGATGAAAAGTTTGTTTCATAATAAAATTTAGATGTAAATACAGCATATTTATTACATGACCAATCTGTAATCTCCATGCCTCGTAAGGCCTTTTTCACTGCAAGTAACGTTCATCTGAAATTTGTTTTCATTTCCTTTCACTTATGTTCTATAAGTCATCCAGTGTATTTTGTTTCAGTATAAGGGAGAATCTGAATTGGTAAATCTTTGGCAATTCAGTCTATCTTACATAGTATCTCTTTTATCAAATAGAGGAGGAGAAAAGATTTGCTTTATTCAATTCAATTAACCGGCTTCCATTTTTTGCTTGAATAAAATAGAAACTTTATTACATTTTGTATATCTTTTAAAATATGAAAAATAAGGGGCAGAAAGTTTTAAAACCCAGTTTTACAGATGTACATGCTAACATAATATTCTACAATTTCATGCTGCATTTGTATAAAATACGTTATACAAAAGTTTTATATAATTTGCATACATAAAATAATTAAAGCATTCAGATTTCTGTCATCTAACAGTGCAATATGCACATACTTGGAAGAAAAATACTGATTTCCTGAGCAACGTAATTTAAAATAAGAATGATTCCCATCATGTACCGTCTAAATACAGACTTCCCGGAACTCCACCTTTACTCTAACACTTTGACTGGATCCTGTTTCATGGTATTTCTAAAACCTAATTAATTGTATTCTTCATATTCCAAGTAGGTAATTTTAGTAAAACTAATGACTAAATAATGGTTCATTTAAAGAACTCTACAGGCCATTGAACAAGTAGGGTTCAGAAAAAGACAAGCTTTAAAAAACAAGTTTTCAAAGTTAACATTACTGTCTTCTAATTCCTAATGACTCTATAACTGATCTTAATATATCTTTTAAGGACACAAAGCCTATAATTTTCTAGGAATAGGATAGCAAATATTATTTAAATACCATCCATTGTTTGAAACAAGTTTAACCATTTGTACCCAAACTTTAAGAAATAACTGCCCTTTTTAAAAATAAGGTTTTTCTTAAATACCTGCAACTCCCAACATTTTAAGTGAACCAAATGCAGTGATTGATTTACAGTTACTTTTACATCTGTATGTATATACGTGTGTGTGTGTGTGTGTGTGTATGTATCTAATGTAAAGTCTCAAAGTAAATTCAAATAAGGGTTTCAACACAAAAGCCACACTATCAAATGATAACTTTTCTTGTTTTATTAAGTTTTACAAAGTAATCTGCATTTACTACAAATTTTGTAGTACTACTTAGTACTTTTTAAAAGTTAAAATTATTGTATCTATTAAATGCTTAGGAAATTGTTTTAACAAATGACAAGGATTACAATCTAGAATTCTATATATATAACATATAGAATTCTCTATATATATTACATATAGAATTCTCTATATATATTACATATATATAGAATTATATGTAATTCAAACTATATTCAATCAAGTAAAAAGTAAGGACAAAGGAAACTGCTTGACTGTGCCACAAGGATATGTTATACTTCCTTCAAGGAATAGGACACTCTGCAAGACAGAAAATGTTTTTAACCAACACAGTACACCTACTTTTTAAAATGTTAATGATTTTGGAAATCAGACTTCTCTTTGTCAATTTCCAAGTATCACAAGCAAAAAGGAATCCTTGACTCTCTGAAATTTCATCAATTTGATGTAAACAAAAGTTCTTCAAAGGCCATCTAGCCCATTCTATCCTAAAATAATCTTTATTTTCTTCCCTAAAACTTGATTTTCAGCAGGCTTAATAAATACAATGTAAACTGGCCAAGTTAACACTGAGCATAAATTAGAAAGATGCCCAAGGCACATTAAAACAATTTTTTAAATCTCAAACTAATAGAATCGCTCAAAAAATCAATTTGCTACAGACTTCCATATTAACACTTTTTGGCAATTGTCTAAAGCCCTCTGATGTATGGAAGGGCTTTAATGTTTGACTTCTTTGTCCTGTCTTTCTCTGACACATTGCTCCTGAAAGTACATTAAGCCTCATATATATATGTTTGTTCACCTCACTTTGAATCCAGATTGAAATCTGAAATATAGAACTGGTTGCAAAGCTTAAACATTAGAAGTTAGGAAATAATGCCCAGAAAATGAGGTGTTATTATGTATCTTAAGGTGCATACTTTATTATACACAAAACAGGCAAGCCAGACTCCACCAAATCTTGCTTCCAATGAATTATTTTGATAACATTTTAAAAACACATACTTTTAAAAATTAAATGATGGAATCCATATGCAAATGCTTATTTAGCTAGAGTCTGTCTGATCCACAGTAGATTTTAAAATATGGCCCTGTAAACCCCTTCCTTCTGACCAAACCATACACCTCTGGCCTCTGCTCCCCAATGTGATGCTCTAGTCTAGGGAAAAAGGATCTAAGTTGAACATTTCCTCTATGAAAAACTCTAGAGGCTAAGGGATCAATAAAGCAATATGTCTTTTACTGCTAATGCTAACAGTCTCTCTACTCCTGCTTTTCTGCAACAGACCTCAGAGACAGACAATGAAAATGTTTTCGTCTCATCAACTTGTGCTTGATAGTGACGGTGGAGGCTGATTTTATACAGCCTATGTTATGAATTCTATTGGACTATCTGAAACAATGTTTAATTCTAAAAATTATATATTATAAGGCATTAAATGTAATTAAGGCATGTTACTACATGTAATACAGCAACAACTTATCACAGTATGTAAGGAAATATTTCCTAAATAATGGTAATCTGTACATGTGTAACACTTTCATTATAGAACAACAGAAGTGCTTTCAAATATCAGAGGCAAATATAATTACTTAAAAAACAGAAGCAGTGGCAGCATTCTTTAAGAGATAAACTTTATGTCCTGACATAATCCAGTGTTCTAGTGACCAAACGGTAACTTCCCAACAGTAACACATTATTTGGGGGGGTTAATAATATATCTCACCCTCTATTACAGACATTATAGATAACTTTCCCATTTCTGTTCTATTTATGCTTTCATAGTGTATGAACTAAATGTGTTTTTTTTTATTTCAAAATAGAATTTTAAGTGCTATCAAATAATTTTAGAATCAGACTTTCTTGCAACTGAACATCTTGATGGTTCAGTATTAAAATTTTCCTCAGCTGCAGACATCTGATGCTATCATTATTTGCTTAAATTTATTACTAATAACCTCAAAACAAAAATACTTAAAAAGTAAAATTTAAACATAACCAGTCTTGACTAAGAAAAATGATGCATTTTTCAAGAACTTCCTAGACACATAATCAAATTCATTTCTGCTTTAAGCATTGATATAACAGTTAACACAGATTCACTGCTTTTAATATCAACAACTAGCAACTGTAGGGATTCTATACTCAACCCATTTGTAAGTGGCTCCAAATAACAACAAAAGGTGAAAAACAAAGCATCTTCAGTCTCTCCAAATTCTGCCTTTGAAGTGGTTACTGACGAACTGATTCACCACATTCCAAATGCACATGTGATTCGAACACTGTAACTGTGAACCAACTGCTATGTTTTGTGTTGAGCAGCAGGTAACTGAGAATCTTGACTATATAGTTTATGATCATCTTGTGCACCAAAGGGTATTCCTTTAGTTGGAGCAATTCCATTTTCCATTTCTCTCTGCTGTGATGGGGGTGTGACTCCTGAATGCAAATGTGAAGAATCCACTGTTGAATGGTGACTGACATCCACCTTAGCTAAAATTTCATAATACAGCAAATAAAACACTGGTGTTATTATGCCTACTATCAACATTATCACTACAGCTGTCCACCACCCTATTCCCCAGTCTGCTCCATAGTAAGGATCCTTCCGTTGAATGTTTTTGTTATCAGGTTCAAAACGGACCTGTTGTGCTGTCAAGGCAGACACCACCTCATTAAGGTTCTCTCTTTTGGTGTCTGTACATTTTACTATTTGTTCGATGTCCCGGTCTACTTCTTTTAGAAAGCTACCAGCTGACTCAGTGGAAGAAAGAGAGTCATTAGCTGACAAAACTTCCTGTTCTGGAAGGTATTGAACAGGAGAAGGACGTGAAGCCGGTCTTCCTTTTGGAGGATAAAGTGTTTCAGTCAATGAACTAAACTTTTTTACTGGAATTTTGATAGACCTAAGGGCAAAAAAGTCTTGATCACTGATGAGATTGTTAACCCTCTTGATATCTGCTACCTGTAAAGAAAAAAAAAAGCAACATTCAACTAAATTCTGAATCAAAATAAAAGTAGTAACAATTCATTCACCCCTTACTTTTAGAGGGGAAAAAATGAGCTTAATATTAGAAGTATTGAGTTATCACATCCAGAGATTTTATTTGTGGATAACAGTTCTACACCACTCTTGATCTACCAGTCTTAAGAAATCACCCCATATATTCTACTATATATTCTACTATCACCCCATATATTGTTAACACTAATTCTGGTTATTTAAATAGATTCTAGGATCTTCTGATATTTCTCTTTGTACCTCATGTACAAATATCACACTTCTGATGCCTGTAAACAATTTGTGAAGGAGGGATTACAGACTTAAGTTCTTTCTTCTTGTGTGGCAGTTAGAGTATAGGCAAATGTCAATTTAACCCAATAAAAGTACCATGTTTTATCAAAACTAAGATGCCATCCACTCTTAGGATGTCCCATTATTTTATGTATCATAAAGGTAAAAAAAACCCCACCAAATATTGAAGATGCCACTGTTCTAATTTAAAGATGTTAAAATATTTTATTTTTAAAAATATGTTGGAATTAATAAAATGATAATTTATCTCCACTTGTTTTCCGAAGCCATTTCCCCCCAAACTTCTTGCTGTAAATGCATTATTCAGCTCCTCCCAAGATCAGTCATTTTTAAAGGCTTTCCTTGTATATTTTATATAGTCCTCAACTTGTCTATATATCCTATCCACCTGCCAACAATGGCAAGAGTAAGGAAGTATTTCTCAGGCTACCAATTACTATGCCAGGTTCTCCAACTACCTTTAAATTATTAGTCCATCAAAGCTGTAAACTAAGCCCTGATCATTTATCACCTGATTGATGTCGGAGAGGTTAAAGTGAATCTAGGATAAAACAGGTTTCTGACATGGCCAACAATGGGTAATCACGTCCCTCATTAAGATATGGACTACTGTAGAGGGGTAAGAGAGAATGAACACAGATTTCACACATGTTGACTTTAATGTGCCTGAAATATGAAAGTGGAGGACGTCCAAAAGGCAGTTAGAGATGAATGTCTGAAATTCAGAAGAATGAACCCAGCTAAAGAGAGAGATTTGTGGATTACCAGCAGAAATGGTCACTGACGTCACAAGAGTAGATTCGCTAGAAAAAGGTACCAGGAAAGATCCCTGAGGAATGCCAACATGTGAGGTGCGTGCTGAGCAAGAGAAAGCCACAAAGGAGACAGAAACAGGAGCCAGGAAAGCACCATGTGACAGTGGTTACAAGTGGTTACCTGGGTTTGAAGCATGACCATGACGCTTTCTAGCTGTGTGATTTGGGGCAGGTTGTTTAACCTCTCTGCAAATCAGTTTATGTAAAATGACCGCAATGCTACTACCTACCACATACGGTTACTGTGAAGATTATTAAAATGTCCAAAGAACACCTACAGCAGTGAAACACATATATTATGCAAGTGTTAGCTGATATTAGGAGAAGACAATGGCACCCCACTCCAGTACTGTGCCTGGAAAATCCCATGGACGGAGGAGCCTGGTAGGCTGCAGTCCGTGGGGTCGCTAGGAGTTGGACACAACTGAGCGACTTCACTTTCGCTTTTCCCTTTCATGCATTAGAGAAGGAAATGGCAACCCACTCCAGTGTTCTTGCCTGGAGAATCCCAGGGACGGGNGGTTTTCTCATTACTGTGGCCAGTGCCATCTTCTCTGTTAAGCTAAATGCCTTTCATCACTCTGCATTTAATTAAGGAAACAGCAGACACATCCTGTGATTGCCCCCCGCCCAATACATTTTCTATCAGCTTCTCTATCCTTTCTATAAATATTTTAGCCCACACACTTACATTCATTGGATATTCCAATAACCTTTTTCTTAGATTCCCTCTAATTCACCAGCAGGTTCTCCCTGCCCACCCCCCACCCCCATTTTGCAGCACTTTTTAAAACTTTAAAATGATGTTCTCTTACTATATATCAAACTTTTCCTCAGTTATCTTAAAGCACTTTATCCTAGTCTGTGTCACTCATTTCTGAAACACCTAATAAACTTCCTTTGTTGTCTACTTTATTTCCTCCTTGATATCTTTTCTACTTCACTGTCCTATGTCTGAAATACTATGTCCTTTTCAAAACCTCACTGATTAAAAATATGACCTCTATTTTGAATCATTTAGACGGCATTTCAAATTTCTCTTTTTCTAAGAAAACTTTCTAGGCTCTAGAAAACTACTGTCTTTCTCTAATAAAGCTACTAGACCAAACTCTTCTCTTGGATCTCCATCTTGATATTTTTAGCCTTGCCCCAGTCTTAAAAGTCTTTATTATTTTCCATTAACAACCTTCTAAGGTTTATTTCTCCATGGTCTTTTTCGCTACAGAATACACAGTAACAATTTATCTGCACTAAAGAATAAAATCATTTTCTAACAGTAAATAATGTTCCCATACATGAACAAATCACAAAAAAACCCCAAACCCAGCTTCTCTTACTCCATCAAGAAATGCATTTCAATAAAATATTTAATTAATTAAAATGTATAATATTTGTTTTGATCAATCATAAATAACTGCAGCACTTATTCATAAAAATAACACATAGAACCTCATGGTCATAGGAAACTTTATAAAATTAAATTTAAATATATATATAAATTTATCAATATATGTGTGTTTCTACAGCAGGGAACTGTGACAGGTAACCAATAAAAGGTTTTCAAGCATAAATATATTTTACACTATGAAAGATTTTGAGGGGGAGAATGAAAATATTAATCAAGGAGAAAAAGGAGTATATAAAATTTCATGCTACTGAAAAGAGAGCTCATATATTTCAAATGAATGATTTCAGGTAGCAAATCCTGGTGGTATTTAGAATTTCATGCATACATTTAAAGAATATTCTAATAGTCTTATTTTTAAATATCAATGTTGACAACATTCTGGAAATTAAATTCTTTGTAACAATTTTAAGTCAAGCTGTATTTAAGATGTTCACTTGAAAATGTACAAGGTGTTACCTAGTACATACATTTCAAAATTCTTTTGGGAGCATAAGAATAAAAACTTTGATTACAAAAGATTTGAATGTGAAAACAGATTCCATGCTATGGATGCAAGATGAACATGACACAGATATAAAATGAATTTAAACAGTTTAATACCTAGTAAAATAAAAAATATACCTTTCCTCTATAAATCCCTCTTATAAGAATCTATTTCACAGAAACAAAGTTATTAGTAGTGACAGCATTTGCCCAATGCAAAACATGGAGGAAATCCTGACTACCCATGAATAAGAGAACAATTTAATAATTGTGGTATATCCACACTATGGAACATCGTAAGCTATATAACATAGGGAGTTAGACCTATGTGGCTATGAGGGATGTCCATGATATACTAAGAAATGAAAAAGTCAGAGGCAACTTTCACAGTAACACGGATAATATAAACCAATTTTAAAAACATCACCACATACATATACATCTTCCCCCAGAAAAGGTAGGGAAAGAAATACACCAGTGTGTGTTTTAGGAAATTGGGACAGGAAAAATATTTTCCTCATATATTTCTACATTCTCTTACAACCTGAATAAGGAGAAAAATAAATGCATTTCAGTGTTTTCAATCTGAAAACAGAATCATGATTTAGAAATAAACATTCAAGTGTTCACTTAAAATTTAAGAAGTTAACATCCACCAACAGGATAAGAGATTTCTGTGGAAAGAGGAAAAAAAGTGGGGGGTGAAGAAACAAAGATGAAAGGGCACAGACTTTACTTCAACTTGTAGTATGAACAAATAATGTAATTGGGGCTGCATTATGCAAAATCAGGTTAAAACTTATTGTAATTGGGGCTGCATTATGCAAAATCAGGTTAAAACTTACCGTACAACAGTACTGAAGGGCTATTGCATTTAAAGTGTCTCCTTCCTGTATATCTTTTGTTAACACTATAATGTCATCAAGTCTATCTTTTGATGTACTTCTTCGGATTTTTTCTTTTCCTCGGGATCGAAGCTCATACACTTCAGCATCTTCCTCCAGCATATCACTGTCTGTACAATTTCCAAATGTATGTACTTGAGCACTTGAATGAATTCCTGGAAGAGGAAAACTACGATTCTGATGCCTCCCTGCCATGTCCAAATCTGGTGGGGAAAGAAGGCAGAGAAAACTTTGGAATGTAGCTGATCCATTTGACTGATTTACATGAATCTTATATTCAAGACACTCTACATCTTGTTTTTTAAAGAATGGTTTGAGTTATTTAAAAACTTAGGTTCAAGTTTTGCAGCTGTTGAAGAACAATGAGCATATCTGGCAATGGAGACAATGGGATGGGAGAAAGAGGTAATCCATTCTTTTAGACCATATGTCACACAACAGTGATGCTTACATTTTAATAAGGGCAAACTGCTATATTATTTCAGGTCAAAAAATTAAGTTTCCCCATTCTGAGTATGTGAAGAAGATATAAGAAATATAAAAAATAATTTTAAGATCACACATCTTATAAACGTGCGATCATATATATAATTTATAGATCTGACAGAATCAAAAAAGTATATATATAGTTTTTACATATATACACACAAGACTTCTATAAACCCCAAACTTTCTGAGTTGTCCCGAGTTTTAAGATTCATGAGATTGAACTATCTTTTGGACTCTCTTCCCACTTCCCTGGATCAGGCTGATTTCACTATTTATGTTCAGTACAATATGTGCCATCTACACAGGTCATGATTTTGCTCTCAACCAGGAATTTTTCTTCCCACCAGAGACTTTTCTTCCCTGGAGCTTTTCATCAAACTTTTAGCTTACCAAAGCCCCCATGAAACTCAATTTATGTTCCACAGAGACTGTGAACAGATTTTAAGGCACTATATTCATTTCTACTTCAGAAAAGACATTTTAAGACTGAGATGAGAGCTGACTTAAGTGTACTCACTCACAACTCACCTTCATTAAGCTGACCTATTCTCGTTTAAAAAAAGTGGGATAAGTTCTCCAACGGGAGGAGCATTCGGTGCTACGTGTTCCAAATGAATGACTTTGACACAGGGGTGCCACGATGTATGGCAATGCTATCTGCGCCATCAACCACTCCTGTGAACCCAACTGCTTTCTCGAGTTATCCACATGGAGGGCTAGGGGCACATCGTCATTTTACCTACCCTGCATTGCTTCCTGCATGGTGAGGAGCTCACGTATGACTACAGGTTCACCACTGACAATGCCAGCAACAAGATGCCCTGTAACTATGGTACCTAGTGCTGCTGAAGCGGTGGCCACCTGCCACAACCCCTGTGGCCAACTTGGCCCAAGCCTGGGGACTTGCTCATCCCGCCCAGAGCATCTCACCCCACCATCATGTTCAGGGTGGATGTGGGCATGCAGGTAACAAGGGTGCTGCCTCCCCACCTCTAGGCCACCCAGCAATTACCCGCTTCCTGCCCTGGGGTCCCAGAATATAGACACTGCACAAAGGTTTCTAAATCCCTTCTTACCTATGTTAGGAGAGTGGGATCCCAGGTAGCAACCAGACCCTCCCCCTCCAAAGTCTGTCAGTGTTAAAAACAAAAAAGAACATTAAAAAAAAATTCCACGCTCATGGTTTTAGTTTCATAGTAATTTTTCACATAAGGAAGGATAGGTTATTTTCAATAATCGTGAAAGAGAGTAGAGAAGTAGTAAAAGGAATTGGGAAGGTAAAATACTTAGGGCTTAACGATGTGGCTCAGATACAAAGAAAAGAAATTAGTTAAAGGTCACACCAAGATTTCTGATTTGTGTCCCTAAGTAAACGCTGGTGCCATTCTCTAAAATTTGGAACACTGGAAGAGCATGTTGAGAGTGGGTGACTTTGATTATAAATTCCTTTAAGACAGCCAAAAAGAATGTCCAATAGTCAAGTGGACTATGTAGTCCAATTCAGAAAGGTCTGGGTGACATAATTTCATGACTCGTCTGCACACAGGTGGAAACTGAAGCTGTATGGATGAGATTACCTAGAGAGAGCACGCGCAGAATAAGAAAAGTGGGTCCAATGTGGACCCTTGGAGAACTGCTACATTTAGTATCTAGATGANCTCCAGCGAAGGTGCAGCCGGGGCCCCAACGCCGCCGGCCGGACCCGGCCATCCCCTACCCCCGCACCCACCTCTGGCCGCCATCTTTACCTGTCCCGTTAGCAGGGGGGACTCAACGAGGAGACCGCCACCAGGTCCGCCGCCGCCGTCCCGGGCCAGTTCATGGCCGAGCCTCCGTCTCTGACTGCCCCTGTCTTCCACCGTCGTCGCCGCTGCCGCCGCCGCCGCCACTACCACCACCACCACCACCACCAACGTCTCCGCCTTTCGTGCCGTGCGCCGCCGCCACGTCCGCAAACCTGCCGTGCGTCATCGCGTCAAGTGGGCGGAGGTGGGATGGGACCGGGAGGAGGCGGAGGGCGGGGGCGCGAGGGCGAGCCCAAGAACCCGGGACTCCCTAACCACAAGCCGACGCGGGCGCGCAGGCGCAGGGATTCCGCCGCAGCCCGGAAATCGGGTGCAGGTTCCAGCTCCGCCCCTGAATCCAGCCCCGCCCCTGACTCCTCCCCTTCGGCCCCGCCCCTTCATTTTCCACCCCAGTACATAAAAGCTTCGGGGCCAAGTCCGCGGTCTAATCCAGCTATTTGGGCGGACTTCGTGTGGTTGTGTAGGCAAAGACCGGCTGGAAAACACTGAGGGGGCGGGGGAGGTACTGAGGGTTTGTGAGGGTTTGTCCCTGTGCATTTCCTCTTTGCCTCTGAAGGTTTCTGTGGTGTGGGGAAGAACGCCCCAAAGCATAGTATTGACATCCATATTTTAAATTATTCCATGCTTCTTGCTCTTCGAACTAAATCCTCTCGACTCCTGCAGAAAAGACAAAATACTGGAGGAAAAAAAACCCTTGGGCGGCGGCGGACAATTGTTTCAGCCTTTATATGCTTAGATGAGGAAAGTGAGCCACCTAGAGTTAGGCCCCAGAAAATGTTTGCCCTCGAGCCCGGGGTTTTCAGGCCTCCTTTTCTCAATGAGACAAGGCTGTTTACAAATGGCAACTTAATTTGTTTGGAAAATTAACTGAAAGCCTACCACGTTTGTTTTGGAGGCAATAAGATTTTAGTTTGTTAAATGACAAAGTCATGACATCATACATGGTGCTTCTCAGAAGTTTACTGCATGAGTGTAATAACGTGTTTGAATTTATGTAAATAAGTGTAGAGTGTTTTTAATGATGTGCGTAATGTCTCCCAGTGTTGACGTTAGATTTTACACTTTGACTACCAGGCTGTTCTTATGACAATATGCATTTTAGACCCAAACAGGCGGGGTGCAGTGTACTTCTTTGAGGAATGTCTGAATATTTATGCATCATGAAATCTTTGAAGCTTTGTTTCAGATTATTTTCAAAGATTATATTTTCTGTTTTCTGGGAAGTGCCTCAGTAAAGGTTAGGAATTCTGCATTGCAATATTTTTCTTTTGTTTCTGGAGATAGGCACTGTGCTCCACAATGCAACAAAAAGAACTGGAGTAGAAGAGTTTAAAAACAACAACATGTTTTTTCAGTTTGTCGGAGCTGTTCTGTGTGCTGTTGCCCTTCTGACACCCCTGTCTGTAAGCATTCATCACTGAGACAGTTTCTCCTCAGTAGACAAAGGATATTTTCCCTACTTGATGTGTAGGGTTCAGGCAGCTCAGCCTTCGTGAATGTTAATGTGAATCCAACCTTCTTTCTGCATATAGGTTACTTTTCTTATTTTAATGTCAATAGGCAGTGGAATCCATGTGAAAGTCCAGGAGATAGAATTTCAAGCGCTCCTACAGGACTGCTACCTATTTCCTTTGTATAAATACTTTCCCAATGATATGTGCATGCTCTTGAACCATTATTTATATTTAACAAAGGTGCAGCTACTGAACTTTTTACAAAAAGACAATAATAGAATTATATTTTATTATATATATACAAAGGAGGCAGTTAGCCATGAAGTTTGGCTAAGTTCCAAAAAACTGGCCAGTAGGAACAAATACTTTGTCTGAGAAAAAGGATGTCCCTAGTACTGAGCAAGGCTAAAAGGATTTTCAGTTTTTTAGACCTCCTCTGACAGTTTTCATTCAAAGGCTGTAGAGAAAATAATATGTAGTTTCTAGGAATGTGTATTTCTGTCATTAAACATTTAGGTTTTGTGGTATGTCCCAGAATAAAAACTACATTTTAATAAGAGTGCAAATTGATGCAACCAGTTAAGAGTGTTACTTGGAAATATGAAAGTTAAAAATGTAATTGACTGAATTATTACTTTGCAAAGTAATTACCTTGGATTCACCTACAGATAAACATGTATAAGATGTAACAGGTAAGTTCACGAATGTTTATTACAGTAATAGCCAAAAATCTGAAAATATGCTAAATGTTCACCAATTGCAGACTGAAAACTTCTGGTACTTTTAAATAATGCAATATTATGCCTTTGCTCAAAGCAATGAAGTTGTTTTTCATATTTTCTGATTTATTCATTTAATTACCTAACGTTTTTCCTGGAGAAGAATTATGTGTGAAACCTTTGTTCTAGGCATTGGGGGTACAATGCTTAAAAAGCCAAATTTTCCTTATTCATGGGGCTTCCATAACTAGGCACATGGAAAAAAAGTTCTCCGGAATGTATTTTAAAGAGAAAAAAAAAGTTGCCACATAGAATGTCTGATGTCATTGCTTTGGAATAAAATTTTAAATGCACACCCCTCATCCTCCCCACTCTCACACACACGCGTTCATATATCTGTACAGGAAAATGTGTTTAACTTTTCTTTCTAGAATATTACTAAAGAAATTTATAACAGTGGTTGAAAGGACTAGATGTGGTGGAAGCCTTTGCCTTTTCTTCTTAGACCTCTCTACATAGATTGAATTTTTATTACCATGTGCTTTTATTATTATTGAAAAATATTAAGGCTGAAGACTTTTTTTTTTAAATTGACTGTGCTTGCTGGGTCTTTGTTGCTGTGTGGGCTTTTCTCTAGTTGCAGCGAGTGGAGGCTGCTCTCTAAAAGCAGTGTCTGGGCTTCTCACTGCGGTGCCTTCTCTTCTTGCTGAGCACAGGCCTTAGGGTATGCAGGCTTCAATAGTTATGTTTCCTGGGCTCTAGAGCATAGGCCTAATAGTTGTGGCACAAGGGCTTCATTGCTCTGTGGCATGTGGGATCTTCCTGCATTGGCAGGTGGATTCTTTACCACTGACCCACCAGGGAAGCCTGCTTTTTATTGTTGAATAACTGGACTTGTTTAATCCACAGTTAGCCAATAGTCAACCATGCACCACTTAATCATTCCTGAGCCTCTTTGTGCTTTGTATTCAAGTAGTGAGTATCTATAAAAAAAAAACACCAGATCAAGTCCTTTGGAATCAAAAGACAAAAGAGTAATGGAACATTTAATTGTCTTTATATTTCTTCTTTATTTCCCTCTGCCAAATTTCTTTCACCCTTGCCTTTTGTTTTTTCCACCCTTGCTTTTTGACTCTCTGCTCCTTCTTGTATCCTTTTATCAGCTATTCCTTCTCATTCTACTTTCTAGAAGCAAAGACTGTAGTACACCAAGGAAATACTTAAAGGACTTTAAAACTGGATCATGAGATGAGACCTAAAAAAACTCCCCTCATCTCTGATCTTCAAACAATCTATATGTAGAAAAAAAAATGATTGTGTCTCTTCTCCAGAAGTCTTTAAAAAACAAACAGACTGCGTGATTTAGATAGTTCCACTGGAGGTAAGCCAGATGAACTCCCTAGCTGCTGCTCCTCCTCTGATGCTAAAGCAGAGTGATTGTGGTAATCAAGGGCCTCCCCTGTGGCTCAGGCAGTGAAGAATGCAGGAGATGCAAGTTTGATCCCTGGGTTGAGAAGATCCCCTGGAGAAGGGAATGGCTACCCACTCCTGGAGAATTGCCTGGAGAATTCCAAGGACAGAGGAGCCTGTCAAGCTATAGTCCACAGGGTCACAAAGAGTCAGACATGACTGAGTGACTAACACTTTCACTTATCATAATGCTCTGCCATAATGTGTATAAAAGAAGAGTCAAGTGTACTTCAGGAATTCAGAGTTGCTTACAAATGCAATTATAAATGCATTTGTACATGCAGATGTAAGTGGTTATAAATGCAAGTAAATATAATTTAGGGATATTAACTATTGAATATGATTTGAATGACTTCGAATGTCTCTATCTACAGACATTATTAGATGAAAACTAGACTCAAAATATTATTCTTAAATTCTCTAGCTAGGAAGTTATTACACAAAGAAAGGGATAGTTATATGTTTACAATTAAGTAGACTGTAATTTGAAATTCCTTGTTTCCTGTGATCTCTACAATTACTCTGGCTACATAAATAAATGGGGCAGATAAATGCCCTAGAATATGTATTCTGCTTGTTGTCTTGCCTACTCTTCCAAACACCTACGATAGATGGTTAAGTCCACTTTCACCAAAGGAAAACGCAACAGATGACCCTGTCAATGAAATTGGATAAGAGCGTACAAAATTGAAGAGCAAGTCAAAATAGAGTTCAGAGAGTAGACATCCAGTTAGATTTCTAAGTATTCAGTAGTGTACTCATGGAGTTAGGAAGATCAGGAGGTACAAAAGCATGAAGAGAAAATGAAGAGGTACATGGAAAGATCTCCAAAACAAAGACACAAAAGTGTTTTCCTGTTCTAGCCTAGGTCTTTCCAGATAGTTAGAGACCACTCCCATGGCAGTCTTCATCTTAACCAATAGTATTTGAAAAAACAAGATAGAAATTCCATTCCCAGGTAAAGAATCATTGAATAAAGAGGTGCATATACCTAAAGTGAAGGTAGTACTCGTCTGACAAAATATAGACAGAAATTACATCTATTCATTTGATAAATATTAATTAAGCACCTATTGTGTTTCAGGCTCTGTTTTAAGGACTAGGGATCTGTAGTAAGCAATCAAGCCCAAATCCTGTTCTCTTGGAGTTCATATTCTTGTGATAGAAGAGAGAGAAATAAATGGAACATTAATATGTTAGATAGCGATAATTTCATGGAGAAAAACTGAGTAGGAAAGAAGCTTGCAGTGGTTTGTTGTTTTGTTGTTTTTAATTGAAGTATAGTTGATTTACAATGTTGTGCCAATCTCTGCTGTACCCCCAAAGTGACTCAGTTTTACAGATAAAGACAGGGTTTGGATTGGGGGGGCAGTTTGCTTTTGGGATTGAGTGGCTAAGGAAAGGCCTGATTTTGGTTTAGCGTGTATTAA